GTATTTTAAACGTTTGAAGTTCGCGACACTTAACGAACTTGTGTGATTAGATATAGACGCGGTAATTAATTGTAAAACCATGTTGCAAGGAAAGCTGTCTGGATGTGATCAATAACGAAAACTAATCATGCAGGTTAGTTACAGTGTCGTTTTATTAATTATATAATAATATGTCAGTAATTTTAATTAAACAGTAACATTTTCGTACGAACTACGAAATGTAGCAGCCTTTAATTATGTGAACATAGGCGTGGAAAATGATTATTTACTCTATCATATAAGAAAACAAATGATGAGACGTGTTATCGCGATACATTGGCCAGATTTACATATTTTATAATATAGGAATACATTACCTAACCAGATTTTAACAGACATTCAATTACGATATGTAACTTTCTTTTTTAACGTTGGAAAATGCATATACTCATACCACCTCCATACATACATACATACATATATATGTACATACATACAGGTAGTGACGATATTAAATCCTATGTCTTTTATTAAACCTAGGGCATTGGCGATAACATTTGAGTTTATGTCAAGATAAAAATCGCGACATAGCGCAGGTTTCTATCAAATAAGTAAACAAAAGAAGACATAGGTCAATAATCCCATTGAATTTATTTACCACTGCTTAGAACCAAAACAATCTCCTCATCATAATAAAGTATTAATTTCTTGTAATAAAAATGTAGGTATATAAACGTACTAATTTAGTTATTATTTAATAACACAATATAGGTACGCAACTATAAATATTTTTAGCACAATCATTAAAATCCAAAAAAATATATTAATGGTTTAAATAACTATTTTATTTACAATAGACTTATTAAAATATTAAGTTAATATCAAATTACGTTACTTAATAACCAATAGGTTCTATATGATAAGCAACCTCTGTGATCTTTAGCCATGTATTTTATTAATGAAATAATGAAATCGATCTATGAGAGGTTGACAAAATGAATTTCTTCTACGAGATAAAACCTCGTGATTAATGTAGTGTCAAACATCGAGCGCGGCGATTACACTGGGCTCCATTAATTGCCTAAACCTACGCCACTACGCTTCATTACTCTTGTCTGCTATACTTTAATGAAATTTTGCTTCGCTTTCGCTTACAGCTCTTTACTACAAATATAATACCTACTCTATGGGTATTATAAATACAAAAAGGTTTGTTGGTCCTGTATCCATATCGACTCGATTTTTGCCGTTTTAAAAGTTATGTTTTTGCTACTCAAAAGTACGACTACTAAGCACAGAACAAAATGAATATTCTTTTACAGCATCTGAGATTGTGAAGAACGTTGTGCATGAGAAATCTTCTAAACAATTTAGTGTCCAGTTGGATCTCACTTCTTTTATCAGCCGTTATCATATTACTTTTGCACTTTTTTTTGTTTCAAACTTGGTTCTTTATTATTAATGTTTTTAGTGGGGTAGAATTTACTGTAAGTCTAATAATACGGAAATAGTCGCAGTATATGAGTACGTGTCTAAAGCCTATTAAGCTAGAGATGCTGGTGGCGGTTCGAGTCTCGTACCTGAGTTGTGACAATGTTTTTTGAACAATGATTTTCCCAGTGACGTAAATATGTGAGAGAGATCGTAACTCAAAACACGGCACTTATAAAATCTATACATAGGTATAATAAAATTGTAACTAAGCCGAATCTGTACATTAAATATTTTTTGGAAAATCTTATTGAAATAAATATCATTATCGATACAGAGATAATATATCGATCTATAGTTTTTAGATTTTTTGTCTGTCTATCTGTCTGTCTGTCTAAAAAAAACTACTGCAGGGATTTTGATGAAATTTGGTATGGTGATAGCTGGTAATCCGGGTCAACATATAGGATACTTTTTACCGCGGAAAAATATCTAATTTCTGAGAAAAAATACAAAAACTGCAATCTAAGAGTATACCAATATGTAAAACCTAAGAATTTGGTTTTTAGTCTTATGAATGCGGGCAGAGCCGCGGGCAGAGCCGCGGGCAATGCTAGTCTTATGTACAAAACTATGGCGATTGACAGCGATCAAGAGGCCTATAGATGTCACTTGACACACTTGTCTAATTTAATAGTAATCTAGCTCATTCAGTGCATTAGCGTTCGTTAATCAATTTCGTCGACCCACGCGATTGGTGGCAAGGACAATAATCACGGCGTGTTTTGGACTAGATTCGTACCTACTACCTAGTGGCACTAATAAATAAGTGTCAACAATTATATATCTAATTTCATAGATTGAATGTAGTATTATATACCTACCTAGATACGAATACATACTTAGTATACGAACGCCGAGTTGATCTATTCGATCCTTTTTAACCGACTTTCAAAAAGGAGGAGGTTCTCAATATAATTTTACCGATTACTCGAAGACACTTGAACCGATTTGGAAATATTTTTTTTTGTTTCAAAGAGTATACTTCCTAAGTGGTCCCATATAAATTTCATCGAAATCGGTCGAGCGGTTTTTTTAAATATCAACAATACATATATTTTTTTAATAGATTGTTTAATCGAATATGTTATTAAAAAACTAGCTTTTTACAAATTACCTGCTTACTGCGTGTACACTAAAAATGGAAAAATAAAAACTTAAAACAAAATAGGAACCGATCTCCAGGCCCTAAAATGTAAAAAAATAACTAAACGAAGTTTTTCATTTAGAATAGATACCTAATCCTAAAATAAAAATGTGCGAATTCGATTCGCATTTGACCGATTTTTTATAATCATTAGTATTAAAGTTTCCGTTTAACATTTAAATTTAACTTTCTACTTATAATACCTAAATTATATTAATTAACTGTCTCGGTGGTGTAGTGGCTAGCATGTACGGCTGCATACTCGGAGGTCCTGGGTTCGAGTCCCAGGTCGGGCCAAGTTTAGTTATTTAGTCTTTCTGTATAGTAAGTCTCAGTAACAGCCCGGAGTTGGGAAGTTGGTGGTGTGGTCACCCCCGTGCCTCGGAGAGCTCGTAAAGCCGTCGGCCCTGCGCCTTAACTCTCACCGGTCGTGTCGTGCAGTCGTCCCACCGGAGTATGAGAGTGACAGGAATAGAGAGTGCACTTGTGTCTGCGCGTACACTTGTGCACTATAATATCTCCTGCGCAGTTGGCTAGTCTCAATGAGATTGACCGCCGGAATCGGCTAGGAGAACATCATCATCATTATTATTTTGAAATTTTCTCCAAAACACAATCATTACAATTTTTCCCACTGAAAGTACAATGTCTAATATACATTTTAGACAGCTACCAAAGCCCAGTAGTTTACTATCCATCTTTCTTCCCATAATATAAAGCTACCTGTTTTAATATTTTGTTTAAATCCGCTTTTTAATTTAATAAAACAATCTTTTATATAACATACTCACCCTTTGGTATTCAAATTATCGTTGAAAAAATTAAAATAAAGGTACGCTAAATTACAATCCGAGTGTAAAAGACTTGGCAAACTTCACAGGGTACTTATATTCGACGAGCGCTTTCCAAAGTCTATCGTCAAACCGTCTATCGTCTGATTATCGGTTTTTAATAACGATGAAACTGAGAAGCTGAAATGTGACGCTTAAAACTTTTGAGACTGAATCTATTGAAGTTATAACTAAATTTTTTAAGTTATAAGAGATAAAGCTCTCGCAACAGCGAGATTGTAAGCAACAGCAAATTACATAGAGACGTTTGTGTCTGTTATCAAGTTACGTCTTTACAAATGGCATGCACATGCTCAGGGCCCCTAGCCTCACGAGGGCCCCGACTAGACAATATTTTCATTTTTACGTCATCGATTACTTTTTTTGTAGCTTACTTAATTTTCTTTATTATTCAAGTTTTTTCACCTTTTCAAAAAGGGCCTAAATTGTTGTTTGCAAAGGAGCCTACGGCCCTGTTATATTTCTAAATATTATGTGTCTATGCTCGTCAATCTTGCTTAATTTTCGTTAAATACTTATGGCATGAACGTAATTCGTCCATGACTTATGGTTACTTCATTAAAACTTCATGAATCTAGCTGGTTGTAAACTGTTACTATACGTTCCGTAACAGAATAAAAATAATAAATATTAAAACAATAATCCGTAATAATAAATAATAAAATAATAATCCGTAAATAATTACTAATAACTTAATTTCCCCAGGTAATAACACCTAATCCTATAAAGGCCGGTAGCATCAAGATTAAGTTACGATAAGTGTATTATATAGGGCTATTATATTGACAAGCGTAGGAACTATAAATTATTTATTTTAAATAGCTAACTATAACTAATACTTTTTAATCAAAGAAGATTTTCATCATTCAATGTCAACCCTAAAAATAATAGTTTATGAACATTTGAGACGACTCAAACTTAATGCATCGTTAGCGCCTGAGTGTCTAAGTTAACAGACTTTTATCAACTTTAAACAAGAAGTTCATATAATATACCTACCACATACATACCTACATACCAGAGGAGTACGAATATGCTTAAATTATTAAAATAGAAACTGAGAAACTGACTGTGTTTATAATGTGTCTTTAATCTACATACAAAGTATTTAAATATGTAAGAATAATAATAAAAATATTTATCAAACCTGTTACTTCATAGGCTCACAACTCATAACAGGCTTGAACGATTACTTTGGAACTACCAACTTATTTTCTAGAATATTCCCTTATTTTAACATAAACTAATAATTTGAATATTTTATTTCTCATTTTTAAATTAGATCCCAACAAAAACGAATCTATCCCATGGGAACTGTAAATTTTAACGGAATAAAAAATAATCTATGTGCTATTCCGTACTGTCAACTATCTCTGTGAAAAATTTCATTCAGACCCGTTCAGCCGCTCTGGCGTGATTGAGTAACAAACATCCATCCATCCATCCACACTTTCGTAATTAAAATAATAATAGGATGGGATTACATGTATATAAAAAAATATAACTTTAACAAAATAATATCATTAAAACAGGTGTAAAAGTTTCCAAAACACCAAGCGCGGCGAAATCTGCCGTATTCCAGGCTGTATCGTAACGCCATCTGTTGGGGCGACCACGCCGATACGGATGCCACACGTGCAACCAGAAACGTTTAGACTGTTTATACAATATGTTTATACTGGGAAGGTAGGTTTAACTTTAAAATAAACGTTGTACTGTGTTATTTTTGCATAATCAGACTAATTTTAAAGACTTTCTATATCTCTAAACTGATATAGAGTCATCTGTTGTTTAATTGTAATAACTTAAAACTATAGTTGCATTAGTATAATACCATCTAGTGTCTAATAGCGATACTTCATCAGTTTTAAAAAGAATTTGCAAATTTTTATATCTTAGAAAGATAATACTGCTTGTTTTACATTTTTACCTCCAGTTGCTTCTCCAAGATTCAGGTGTATTTGAAATGATGACCTTAGCAGCAGACCTAGGAGTGGAAGACCTAAGATCAGCCTGTGAAGATCATGTCACATCCACCTTGAATGTGGAAAATGCTTGCACTCTACTAGCTGCTGCAATGGATATACAAGATAGACCAGGCTAGTATAAACATTTTTTTAGTTTTATTTTCTTTTCTCATGCGAAAGTTTCTACATTTCGTAAGTTAAATTAAAAAAAAATTGAAAAAGTTTTCACTATTATATTTTTATAAATACAAAAGTTTTTTTTATAATTGGAATGGTTTTACTGTTTACAATTCCTTTTAGAATCACAAGATCAATAATTTTCATAAGTGTATCAGATGCGATGGTGGTGTAATGGTCAGCATAGTTGCCTTCCAAGCAGTTGATCCGGGTTCGATTCCCGGCCATCGCACACTTTTTGTTTTTATTTTTCATTTAACACCATATTAATTATTGTAACATAAATCTTTATAATATTTTAGATTAAATGTGTGTAGTTAATATGGTAGATGTATTGAAATTTATGTATCTAAATTTTACTCATGCCACTTTTTACACAACCCACTAAGATTTTTTTTAAAGCCTGTCTATATTATTTTTATAACTTTATAACATAATACATTTTCCCGTTATTATACTATAATCATCTATAAAATATAATAATAATTTATTGAAATATCTATGGGAGACGTTTATTTTATCTGCCTTGTCCGCCATGTTGCTTTTTTATTGTCTATGACATTTACGCTTCGTTCCCTGACGGATAAAAACGACGCCGGCTTGGCGCTATTTTGTTTTAAGAAATCATCATTTTGTGCATAAGAATAAAACGCTAAAATGGCATACAAAGGACCACCGAAAGTACAAAAGGTGATGGTACAGCCCATCAACCTTATCTTTAGATATTTACAAAACAGAAGTCGTGTTCAAATTTGGCTTTACGAGAACGTGAATTTGAGGATTGAGGGTCACATCGTGGGCTTCGATGAATACATGAACATTGTGTTAGATGAAGCTGAGGAAGTGCATATGAAGACTAAAAACCGCAAGCAAATCGGCCGTATAATGATGAAAGGCGATAATATAACGCTCATTCAAAATGTCAACCCGAACGCTTCCGTGTAAAATAGGTTATAAAAGTGGATGAACATTCCTAGCTGTTAAGTGTGATGATCACTGTTTGTGAATTGTGAAAGTTTCTTACCAGTACAGCCTCAAACGATTAAATTTAAGATCTACAAATCGACTTTTATTTCACAACCTCAAACTTTGTGTAGATTTTGTTTTCAGTGTTCAATAATAATTTTTCATTAAAGGCTTTTGAGAAAAAAAAGTACCATCTATAATTCAAATATAATTATATATTATCAAAAATTGATGGCATACGAAATTAATTTTAAGCAGTAATTAAAAAAGTATTCCCCACAATGTCTAAATCTATGTTTCAACCAAGAAATTGTTAGATCTTTAATATCAAAACATAAATAAATCTCCTATGAAATGATAAGGTAGATTTAAATATTTCAAAATGAACTAATTAAATAGTTATGTATTTCTTATTACTGAAAGCTATTATCAATTATTTCTCTTAAATTATAAAATTTTTGTTTGAATAATGCTAGATAAGCATACTAAATCAAACATTATATGAGAACATACATGTATGTATACATTATCTTTTTGCTCTGTCATTTTTTTCACATTATTGTTATATATTTACAATTATCCTAATTAAAATGAAGTCATTAATGTTAGCAACTTTTATTATAACATTACAGGAGGTAAAAGTGCATCATCATTCATGGAACGCTGCATATCATTCATAGAAGAAAATGCACCTGAATGTGTCAAAAGTAATGCCTTCTTAAACTTGCCTAAAGAAGCCCTCATCAAGCTAATATCTTCAGATAATGTTAGTATTATATTATTTTCTACAAAGATCAAGTACCTTTTATCTTAATTTCCTCACATTATTTTTAAATGTGTGGTAAAGACAAAACAATATCAAATACATAGTATATTATTCTGGACATAAATATTTAAATATTAATATTAAATAAATATTTTGGGACATTAACACAGCACCATCTAGTTCCATGGTAAGCTACCATAGATACCAGCCCTGTGCTATAATATAAATAATATTAGTCCCGCTGAGTTTCTTTCGCCAGTTCTTCTCAGGTCTAATGCTTCTTCTTTCCGAACTAGTAGTAGACTCATGACGTTCACTAAAGAAATGTAATAATTTAATGCTGATTGCTGAATAAATTATTTGGAATTTGACAAAGTCTAAAATATATTGTTTTGCTTCAGGAGTCTTAAGGTTTGTACAGGTTTTTATCACGATTATTTAATGGTTTAGGAACGCATAGAATTAATGGTTTAGGAATGCATAGAGGACAAACATATGGACATTCGTTTTTATATATATAGAAGATGGTGAATTGCATCAATAAATCTGGTTTACTTATGACAGGTAGTGTACATCTATACTTCCATACCAATATTATATGTGAAAGTGTATTTGTTTGTCCTTCTTTCACGTCGAAACTGAGTGATGGATTGGCGTGATTTCATGTGGACATACTTAGAGGGCTGGAGAGTGACATAGGCAACTTTTGAAAACACGTTATAATACAACCCACAAGTCATTATACCTATGTTTATTTAGTCTACCTATCCATATTAACCGTTAGAACGTACCAGTATATTTGTATTTGATATGATCAGTATGACAATGTGGTCGGGTGTTTGTGTGTAGCTGCGGCTGGAGGAGAAGGACGTGTGGCGCGCGGCGCTGGCGTGGGGCAAGCAGCGCGCGGGCGTGACGCAGCCCACGGCGCACTGGGCGGAGGAGGAGCGCGCGCGCGTCGTGCACCACCTGGCGCCGCTCATGCAGCACGTGCGCCTGCTGCACATCGGTGATAGCATACGCTAATATACTCGCACTCGTACATACCTATACTCATCACATTATACCATTCATGAATACGACGTAGTTATACAAAATAGATTCAATCACAAAAACTAACTTTTGAGAAAATATGAGAGTTATTAAAATTGGTATATTATCAAAATAATAAGACTAGTTTTTTTAGAGTTTTCTCTTAAATATTAGGTATTTTATGTATTTTCTGTATATAAGTTGATACATATGTAGGTGCCATTAATGACAGTAACTCAAAATACTGTTTTCGTGGGCTGAATCTATTTTGTATAACTATGTCCAATTATAAATACGAAGGTTTTGAATGACGAATGTTTGTTACTTAGTCCCGCCAAAAGAATAAAATTTGACACAGGTAGATTATAGTTAGAAATAGCATATGGTTTTCATTGTTCAGCAATGTAAGTTTCCTGTGGAATAGATTTTGTTTTCGCCCGAGCAAGGAATCGACTACCTATTTTATACTAACCGTTAACACGTACCTACCTACGAGACGTAGTTATTTAGACGTAGTTCATCAGTGGCGGATTTACACATTTTCCTCCAGTAAGTTATATTTGCCACCCTAGGCTCCAATTTACAGAGCCCGCTGGTAAATCCACCGTCGTAGTTCATGTGTATTATATACAGTACGTAATAGCGCAAGAAGAAAATTTATATACATATGTGTATGAATGTATTAGTTACTTTTCCATGCTGAAATGATTGGTGGATTGTGTATTTAGTGTCAAAATATGTTATGGATTAAATGGCCATTGTTAGGTTTTTTAAAACACACCCGAGCAAAAAGGGTATTCCTTATAAGTAGCTAGTGAAAAATATCATAACTATGTATAAATTTAATGACTGATTGTGTTTTCTTTAATACAATATATCAATACAATAAATGCAATATAGTTTATCGGTTTGTCCTTTCTATACACGAGTATACCCATAACGGATAACCCACATAATAGAGCATGAGTGTGATGTCGGGCAGACAGCGTGGTGTTCGCGGAGGAGGTGGAGCCCACGGGCGCCGTGCCCATGGAGCTGTCGCTGAAGCGCTACAAGAGCGCCGCGCTGCACGCCGCGCCGCCCGGCGCCACGCGCCGCACCACGCCCAGGTCGGGATTGTTGGCTTTCATATGTTCATTCTGTTGGTATACACATTTTCTTTCAAATTAGTATATATGGCTAATATGGGAATGGTTAAAAGAGTATCTAAAAGAGAATCATGAATATATAATTATACTAGCAATACGCGCGGCTTCGCCCGCGTCGAAACTTTCGAATGCTAAAAAAATTCACAGGATCACCCGCTGGGCTAGTCTGAAGATTACCTGAAAATTTCATAAAAACGCTCCAGCTGTTTTGGAGTCTATAGGAAACATACATACAAACACACATCGATCTTTATTTTACTATATCAACAATTTAAAATTATTGATTGCTCGGAAAATGGAGTCTTTTAGGAAAATTTAGTGACACACCGACTGCAGCGCCACCTACTGCGTCCATTTATATTTTAAAACCATCCAGGAGTCCATTTAAATATACACACAAAATTTCATCCAAATCAGTCCAGTCCTTTAGGAGGAGAAGATTAACAAACACTCATACAGAAGAATTATATATATTAAGATATGTATATATTTTTATTTAAAAAATATTCTATAATTTATTAAATTAAAACTATGTAAAACTAGTTCACTACGTGTTTTTACACTTTTGAATTACCTTTTTTGTACCAATATTAATAGTTAACACTAAACGTGGAAAACAATATTTTATAGTAAAAAAGATTATTTAACCTAAAGATATTTATAAAATTTTGACTAACTATTGCATTTCTCACCAACTTTTATTAATTACTATTACCATAAAGAAAATCTCTAGTTAAATTAATACAAACTTAACTGTTATTTTATAAATATCGTGAGAAAAAGTTTTTTCAAAAAAATATATTTTATCATCTATACCTATTCACCTTGCATGGCGAGTAAGTCGTTTAAAATATGAGAAGCTATTAATAAGAAAATTGAATTAAATTGAAAATTTCAGTAAAATGATCTAATCCTACAATAATCTCCTTCTAATAAGTAACATACGGAAATATAGAACCACTAAGACTTATCCATTCCTTCATATTTATAGTATGTATAGTATATGTAAGTAAAAAATATTTTATTTCACTTTCCAGGATAGCAGTCAATCTGTTTGTGGACTCCGTGATCCTGCGCCAGGACAAGAGTGCCTTCCAGTCACTTCTCAACACCTGGTAATATTATTTAAATTAGTTTTTTTCACCATGTTTTAAAGTTATTTTACATTTTATTCAATATACTATTACATGACATATTATACATATCTATTATGTTTCACTTCCTGTGTAATGTATTCTATCTCATTCTCTCGCCGGCTTAATCTATATATTTATGTGTTTGTCCTTTTTCAACCGACTTCAAAAAGGAGGAGGTTCTCAATTCGACTGTATTTCTTTTTATGTTTGTTACCTCAGAATTCCGTCATTTATTAACCGATTTGGACAATTTTTGTGTTGTTTGAAAGTGTATACTTCCAGATTAGTCCCATTTAAATTTCAAAAAAAAAATACCACCCCTAAGGGTGGAAAAATAGCTGATGATGAATTTAACCTACTTCTAATTGTCATATTGACTTGAAACTTTGCAAGTGTTTCTATTTCCGTTGATAGTACAGTGGTTCGGTATTGTTGACCTGATCTGATGGTAAGGCCAGAAGGTGGATAGGTGGAACTCTTCAGCGGCTAATAGTAGATACTTTGAGTTTGGGCTTATTTTGTTTGATTTGACAAGCCTAACACGTTAGAATTCTTACTTTGCTACTACTGTCTACACTAAAAAGGGAAAAATAAAAACTTTTTAACAAAAAAATAAAAACCGACTTCAAACAAAAGAACTAAAAAGTAAAAAAAAAACAAAAAAAAATACAGTCGAATTGAGAACCTCCTCCTTTTTGAAGTCGGTGTGCTGATTGGCTAAGTTTTAAAGCCTACCTATTAAATACATACCTAATCAAATGTTTTCGAAATCAGTGCCAGCCCATACAAAGCAAAGCACACCAACTTCGAAAATATTTGATTAGGTATGTATAGTAAATGAAAACTATATACTATATACCAATCAGTTATTTTTTACTAACCGTTGTGATTGTCTGACGAATGATACATAATATTATATTATTTTCTTAAATGATATTCTATAAATATATGATTGTAATATTATGCCTGATATGCGTTATTTTTAGGTATCTCAGCTATCCTAATTATTTAAAAATATATATTGAATTTTATAAAGAGTACCGATAACCTACAGAAGTTTTACTTCTTGCGCGTCTACACATTCATACACGCACTCTTTAATTTATTTTGGGAGAGCAATGTGTTCAAAGACAGCACGTCGCAGGTGCGGCACGCCCAAGCAGACGTGGTCGCTGGTGTTCCGCGCCTCCACGCACGGCTTCAGCGCGCACGCCTTCCACGCGCGATGCGACGGCGTCGCGCCCGTGCTGCTACTCGTGCAGGTGGATATCTATTGTATAACAAATACCAAATGAACATGTACACTAATATTGGGCAAATTTGTTTGTTTGTTTTATATGTGCATGTTTCTGTGTGCATACGTGTATGTCACAGGTAGAATATGACTAATTAATGTAAATATTAAAGTAACACTTAAGCAACGATCAAAAAAGTACTAGATACATATACAATCCAATGCAAAAATTCTCTTAAAACTGTCACCAATTGTGTTAATTATTCTAGTTGAAATAAATATACGACAATGTAAATTGAACCTTAAATGCAATGCTTAAAGTTGTTTTCACAAAAAAAATTGTTAAAAGCACGCTCAAATGTTCAAATAAGCGCTTATACGGTGATGACAATTTTTGTCGCTAATTGTGTATCTAGTACTTCTTCGATCGATGCACATAAGCTTTTGTATAGCACGTAGGAATGTAGCCTAGAAATGCTAAAGTAACTCATTAATAATACTATCACAAAAAAGATTTAGAAAGTAATAAACAAATTAAAATTTGTGATGGCACAGTTCACTTAATATATGAAGGACTTTATGCTCCACATGAAAATATCAAACCTAGCACAGTTTAAATAAAACAAGTACACAACACTACCAACATCTATCCGCAGCTACCGCGCGGCGAGATCATAGGCGGCTTCAGCACGTCTGGCTGGGCGGCGCCGGGGGCGGGGGCGGCCGGCGCGGGGGCGGGCGGCTACGTGCCGGCCGAGCGCGCGCTGCTGTTCACGCACGACCCGCCCGCCAAGTACCCGCTCGTGAAGAACTCGTTCGCGCTCTGCTACCACCCTGAGTGAGTATTGTATTATCGTCCTTATTATCGTCCCACTCCTGGGGGTGGGCCTCCTTTCAGTACGAGGGGGATCAGGCCATAGTCCACCACGCTGAATAGTATGTCTTTCGAAAACTTGCTAGGTTGTTTCAGACATGCAGGTTTCCTCACATATTTTCCTTCACCGTAAGACAAACGTCAAAAATTCAGTGTAAATTTTTTTTACAAATATCATACAGATACGGATACTTTAAACGCTCACCATTTTGGCGCGCTCGGCGTGACGTCATAGTCTATGACAACATTGCAATGTACGAGTGAATTAATCTAGAAGTATTAAACAACAGCGCTGTTATTATACTTTGACGTCACCATTCGGTCTGGTCAATGGTATTGCGTTTCAACTACTTTGGATTTCCCATCTGTTTTTGCATATTTTAATATTTTTTTAATCAATAATAAATTACATTAAAAAATATTGATATAGGCTTAATTCAAAAGCAATAAAAATTATAAATAAAACGTGTGTGTATACTTATGTATGCACGTAAGAAATTATACTTCTTTGGCGTAACAAAACAAAAATACCTAAAGATTTCATCCCGTATGTCACAACTCTGTAAAAGGAATGCAACTTCATCATGTCGCTTTTTGGCTGTCGGTGTGCGCGCGCATCGTAAAAATTTTACCCTCATATTTTTTTCCAAACGTGCCAAAAGAAGCATAACTTCAAAAAATATTTGACTTTTATTAAAATCACAAGTATACTTCCTATTATTTTGGTATTTACAAATTGTTTAGTAATTATAGCGGTAAATATTAAATAAGTATTAGTGTATAATTCGTAACGTTGCCCGTGTGTCGACAGATGCGGCCCCATCTTCGGCGCGGGCGCGGACCTGCTGGTGGCGGGCAACTGCCACGCCAACAGCGACAGCTACAGCAACCTGCACTCGTACGGCGACCCGCTCGCGCCCGCCAGCCTCGTGCCCGACTACAACTTCACCGTGCGCGACTACGAGATATTCACCTTCGCCTGAGGCCCTGACCCCCCAGCCCCACTCAGAAATTAAAAAAGAATTAGGGTTCAATGTCGTTAGTTTTAAAATAAAAAACAACCAAATTCGTCTAGCTGTCCTTAAGTGATGTGCATACCGACGTATATTTCATTTTTATCATATAAATACATACATAAAAAATACCTATTTTCTCACAAACGTATAGTTTATATAATTTTATAGCTCTCTATATTGGTTTTATCCGAAGGCTACGAGACTTTTTTTCCGTCAGTTTCTTTGTTTTTTTTTAAATTAAAATATTCCTATATTTTTATATGTATATTAAATAAATTTAAAGATAAGTAAGATATATATTTTATAGTATGTTGTAGTGTTAGTTAATACTAAATCATATTTTGTACAGTTTTATTTCATTTAAATATAATAAAAATTACAAATTAAGGTTATGTGTGTTGTTGTCTAATAAACCTAAACATAAATATCTATTGGAAATTAAAATATACAACATTTTTAACAATTTAGTTGTTTCTATACATAGTATCTATTTAATAGACAATATTTTGTCCCTACTACAAATTATAATTAACCCAAATAGATAACATCGTAACATATAAGTACAGTAAAACTAAAACTAGTAATAATAAAGTACACATTTATTTTAAAGGCTCATTTAGGAGTTTCTTTTATTCTTCTCTACTTAAAACTAAGTAATCCTGAATCCTTGTAACATTAAAATAAGAATAAAGTATATATATATACCTGATCCGATCATGGAAACAGTTATGGATAGTTTCAATGGCTATTAAGGATCCAGGTTGGGTATAACTTGATTATCATCAGACGTGTTTTTTACTTTTTAAAGCTATGTTATTGATGGTTCCTGGTTTCTTGCGCTATAGTAATGTTTTACAATGGTGTCCATGGACATTTTTTTAAATATATACGCAGTGAGAAGATTCACACTTATGTCTGTGTAATATCAAACTATTTATACTCTGAAGTAATTTGTTTTTTTTTTAACTTTTACAATAATTAAACAATTGTAAAGTGTAAAAAAACAACAGAATTTAAATCCTTGAACTGCATTAAAGACAAATGTTAACTGATATAGTTACTTCTTTATTTGTCATCCATGGTTACTTCTCAAAAAGAGCGCCATCTACATTTTAATTTGGTAACTATAATGTTAAAGATATAATATTCACTCAGTTGTCTTAAATGAACAATAGATGTCGCTAGAAGTATCAAAAGTGGTCAACTTATACTTTTAAAAATGTTTAACCGCATGCAATTTATATAATCAGACCAGCTTAAGAGGATTGTGAAGTGCCGATACGCGGCGAGAGTAGGTATTTTTAAAAATGCTATCTGTTTCATACCGCTTTGCATCCCCCCGACAGTGAACAACACAAATACAACATACGCAAATTCTCACACACACTATGATAGCAGCAGCCGGTGACGCGCGGGCGCTTGCGGGAGGCGGGGGCGGGGGCGGCGCGACTCGGCGCAAGAGCAATTTCAAAGTTTATCTAATATTTATTATTTTAACGGTTTGCGTACAATATACATTCCCTACAAGTTACATCGCACCTTTATTCATAAACTGAAATAACTCTAAATTACAATTCTGTGGCGAATATCATTTAAAATTTGACTTGTTTAGATTGATGACTTCAAAAAATCATAAAAAAATAAATAGGTGGTTTAGATCAATTACAAAAATCTCGTTCCAAAAGTTGAAAGTTATAGAATTTTTTGTTGTTTATGTAGGTACTAATAGACCCATCGGAATCCTTTTATTGTTAAAATAATTATTTTATTGAAAACCTGAAGTTTTATGATTTTATAATGTTAGCAGGTATATAAGGAATAGAAATTCATAAAATGACCTGATCATGAATGATGATGATTTACGATTTTTTAACATATCTATGACTAAATTTTATAAAATATATCAACTTAATTTTTTTAAATATATTTTTAACTAATGAATAAACAAGATTAGATTACGAATGATTTTCATTTCAAAATCAATAAAATTAACTCCAAAAACTAATAAAATATCGATAATTTCGAAAAAATTATAACGAATAGTATGTGTATATATATATAATTATACACATACTATTCGTAATAATTTTCATAAAATTATAACGAATATTATAAATTATAACGAATATAAAATTAAAAATATAAATTTTACAAAAATAAAAGTATTTTTATTGCTCCTTCTAAACGGTAATAGTCCAGCAATTAGCAAAAGAAAGCGCGTGACCGGTGGTGGGCGAGGGGTGGAGGGCGAGGGGTGGAGGGGTGTAGGAAGTGGTCCTTACTCATTCAAACTTGGCCAGATATAATGATGATGATGATATAGAAAATATTTTTATTTTTGTATGAAAATGAAAATTTAAGAAATATTTTTTTTTTCTTGTTACAGAGGTTGTTGTTATGATGTAAATAGTATATTCCCAAAAGGTCTTCAGTAAATTAAAAATGACCCTGTATATATATATATTTATATATATATATATTTATATATATATATTTATATATATATATATATATTTTCAGTTTTGTATTTTTTCTCAGAAATGAGATATTTTCCCGCGGTAATGCTATAATATGTTGATCCGGATAACCAGCTACCACCATACCAAATTTCATCAAAATCCCTCCAGTGGTTTTTCTGTGACGTGGTAACAGACAGACAGACATACAGACAGACAGACAAAAATTCAAAAAACTATAGATTCGGCCTCTGTATCGATAATAATGTTTATTTCAATAATATTTTCCAAAAAATATTTAATGTACAGATACGGCTTAGTTACAATCTATACATACGAGTATAATAAAATTCTAAACTTTGGATTGAATCCTTTCAGTATCGATCGATATATCGATATTACCTTCTCCTCCCTAGGAGATAATAATATCGATAGCACCTTCAACATCACTACAGTCTAAAATATGCCCCTGCCCCCGACCCGTATGGTGCGATAGAGAGAGTTGCAAGTCTTAGACTCAATTACCTACATTTCCTTTTTGAAATATTGTTTCGGGCGATAACGTTTTCACCCCCCTAAACATTAACAAAATGAGACGATTTTGGTCTCATTAGATTCAGTACACCTTAATCTAGGTCTGTACGTTTTCCTTTTTTTGTAATTCAGTTTAGTTTAATTTAAACAAATAAAAACGCTGGAGGAAGTTTTTAGGTCAAAAATATAGATATTTAGATGCTAATAACTTCTGTCGTACGCAATATTTCAAAAAAATAAAAACGTACGGACCTAGATTTTGATTATATCTACAACATTTCCAAAAATTATGAAAATTAGACTATGTTTAAGGGGGGAAAAACGTTATCGCTTTTTGTATGAAAATTTACAGGTTCACAATCCTCTTAAAATATAAATGATATTTATATAGATTAATTAAAGGTCATATGATCTGTTTTGTGTATTTTTAGTCTGTGGTAAAGAACTATGTTGATCACCGTTGCATACTGATGTTATAAGTATTTAATTTTTAAACAAAATGCTCAAATAAAAAAAGTATCTCATAGCATTACCTTTTTTATAATCCAAAAGGAATTTGATGGTTTATAATCTGTTGTAATTCTTGTCGTTTCCAGAAGAAGTTTAAATAAAATAGATCAAAAATTAAAAAAAAAACAGTGGTATATATAAAAAACTACGTTCTAAAGTGCCAATGCATTATAAAAAATCATATTATTATTAAAACGAACACTTGAACAATAATAATAATTATACAATACATCGACCAGTTGGCACACCTACATTAATCCATAGGTACATTAAAAAAACCAGAAGTAAGGCTTTTCCGCGGGAAAGTAACACAGAAACCCCAGGAGTTCCCAAAGAAAACCCATGAAACTATTTATCTAATTTCGTTATCTATTTAGTGCAAGCGTCGCCCGCATGAAGAGTTGCAATGCATAGGTAAGTGGCTAGTCCCTGCTCCGGAAAACTGCTTATTTTTAAATAATCCTGATTATTTTAAATAAAACTATCTGTTCGGATATTTTCGCGGATTTATTTTGATTTTTGGTTCCCGACGTTTCGAATGCTTCACAACAATCATGGTCACGAGAGAAACTTAGGTGTTAGATGTCTCAAAGGTACTATATAGTATATAGTTGTTACAGACAGCCTACCCACAAATAACAAAATGAATTAAAAAAAATTGAAAAATAGCCCCAAAGTACCATACAATTTTTTTTTTAATTTTAAACATTTTTATAATTTTAATTAGTTTGATAATTGAATATGGAATATTGTTTATTTAATTTTTACTATAGTAATCTATATTTTGTGTTGCCATTATTATATTTATAACATTAAAGAAAAAATAAATTATAATATTAATTATTTAAGCCACATACTTGTTACAGACAGAAAGATAGTTTTATTTAAAATGTCAAATATTCGCGTAAATCTAACAACAAGAAAGTATTACTCGTAGCGAAAAATGTTTTATTACTCCTTTATGGAATTTACTTTACAGGGGAGACAGGCTTTTATTTTATTGGAGTAAAATGTGCTTACTTTCAAAAATTATTATAATTTTAATTGTAACCTGAAAAGAACTGGCCGAAAAGAACAGTTCGAAATTAAGCAATGAAATATACCTATGTCAAAAACAAGTATAGAGATGCGCCTGAGAGAAGTTAGGGTAAGTCGCTGGTACAGACTAAAGATAGCTAAGTATATAGATACGTAGCTAAATTGTCAACTATTATGTACATTTTCATAGTAAACGCTTAGTTTAGTTACTCAACCGTCGAAATTTTATAAAGAATTCTATACTGGAGATAAAACAGATATCCGGAGTCCGGCACGTCCGGGATTATATAACCAGCGCGGCGTTACTCGATGCATACCACATTTTATTTTAAAATATTTTCAACATTTTTTCATAATATATTAATTATGTTTAATTGCCTGTCTTCACTTAACTTCTAAAATACTAGAAAAATCAAACTATATTTT